TTGGACCGTGAATAAAATAAATTGATTTTGCGAAAAAACTATTTGTTCTGTCTTTTTTTTAAAAGTCCTGTTTACTTTGGAACTCACCTTGTATGTATAAATTAAATACAGATATTACAACTCATTGCCGATTTCGTTTTCTGAAGAAAAATGTGCTGCAATATAAATCAAAGATAATTATTTTACTTACGCCGTAAATAAGGAAGGGCTTTTATAAGGTTGAATTCCTGGAAAAGGTCCTCCAATTTTTGGTCGTCTTCATTGTCACCCATTAAACACATCGCACAGTTCGACGCCGCTTATTTCGATAACTTCGCTCTCATTTTTTGCTACGTCTTCCTCGTCAACAACAGCAAAACCGAGATTGATTTTAGGTCGGAATACTTAAATCGACATCGCTTCCGTCATGAAACGGAGAACAAAAAGGTGAGAAGACATATAACTAAAACCGAGAAAAACCGATCACAGTGCCGAACTTAAGTGCTGGCACACTTAGTATCTTGAACTTTAAGTGCGCTATATTTAAAATTTTAATAAAATGTAACAAAATTATTTTGGATAATGGGAATATTTAACAATCAAATTAATTTTGTTTCATTGAACTATCTCTTAAAACTAAATTTTAAAAATTAAAAAACCAAAGTATGAGCACATATAAGTTAGCAACAGCAATATTTCCGCATATTTTTCTCCGAAAATATTGCATCATTGTCAAGCACAAAGTTGCAGCCCAAGTTCAATAACATAAACACGAGCATCCGGTCAGCCGCAACTAAGTACGGAATACGAATTCTGCAGACCCTGCAGATTCTGCAACCAAGCAATTTTGTCAACGCTACCAACGCCGCTGCAGCGCCGCTGCCGCCGAAGCCAACGTCGCTGCCCCAACCCACAGCTTTAAATAGGGATCGCTATATAGAGTAGGGCAGTTCCGATTTGTATCTCGAATAAATAAGACATCTTAATCCAATTTTTGAAGTTTTAATTATTTGGAAATTAACTTATAGCTGCACAAAAGTTTTTGCACATTTGTGTTTTTAATAACTATTTCGTTAAAGCAACAGATTTGGTTGCTTTTTTTGTCAAATCCGCATTTTACCTATATTTTAAGTGGTATCATAAAATCGATTTAATTCCTTAACTTACATTAAAAATGGTATTATATAAAAATAAATACCTTTATCTCTGCGAAAAATAATAATGTATTTTCAGAATCAGGTTCAGTTGTATCCTAACATTTTTGAATGGGTGCCCTGAAGACGTTTTAATCGTTGGGAGCCTTTTATGGCGTTCTAAAGGGCTTTAACCATGCAAAAATGCATGGCTCATAGGTCCGCACAAAGCTTTGAGTGGCCAGGGAGGCGAAAGGATCACATAACAGGATAGTGACAGATCTACTCAGATCTACTCAGCACTGATCTAAGTTTAGGGTAGGGAGGTCTTTGGCAAGGATATTTACCCAGAAGCCTTCCGATAGGCCATGTCAAGTGCTAAGTACAAGTTTTTTGCAATTAGAAAAAAAACAATTTATTTGTTTGTATAACTTACCGAACCTTTAGCCACTTGACATTATTATTATGTCTTATGAGTAGATAAAAAGGACCCAGAAGCCGTTTGGGATACTTAGATACCGTTTTTCGACCCATAAATGGTTATATTCTTGACCTTTATAATCAATTGGTTTGTCCTAGTTGCAAAAAACTTGTACTTAGCACGTGAAGGAAGGCAACTGGGTAAATATCCTTGCCAAAGACCTTTTTACCCAAAACTTAGATCAGTGCTGAGTAGATCTGAGGGCTGTCATTATCCCATTATGGGATCCTTTCGCCTCATGGCCACTCAAAGCTTTGTATCGTCCTATGAGCCATGCATTTTTGCATGGTTAGAGTCCCTAGAGCCCCATAAAAGGCTCCCAACAACAAAAACAGGTTCATGGGCTCCCATTCACAAATATTTGTATACAACTGACCCTGATCTTGAAAAAAATTATTATTTTTCGCAGAGATAAGGGTATTTATTTTTTTATTTTTATATATAACCATTTTTAATGTAATTTAAGGTACTAAATCGATTTTATGATACTAATTTAGCATTACACCACTTAAGATATAGAGAGTGGCGTTCAACTCGAATCCTACCGATTCTCAAGTCACCACTCGGTATGCTAGTCGTAGAGGTCGTGCACTTCTAGCGATGCTCTGCGCTATGCTCGTCGGACTGGCGTGGGTTCTTTCTACTTCCACTATACCACAACATAAAACAAGAAAATAAGTGCACTATCTGAAACTATTAAGATGTACCTAAATTGTAATCGGCTGTACCCACTGCTTAGTTACGCCAACAGGAACAGATCTCCAATCGATCAAGGGTTAGGGAGACTTGGACGTTGTTTGCCCCCTATTCTTTACCCACCCTTCCATGGTAACCTTGACATCTACTAGATTACCCCTTATTTGACATCAGATCATATTCTAATAGCCCTCAAACATCATGTAGCTCCGGTGACGATCCATTTAAAAAAAAAATAAAATTTACACGATCATTTCTTGGCGTTATACAAAGAATTCATAGTTTCCATTTCTTTCATAAGTTTACGCGCGGTACGATCTAATAAACCCTTCAAAGGTCGTTTTAGATAATCTAAGCACAGGCTGGTGCCGTTTACTTATTGGCTATACTCCAAGATTTATATCCCTCATAAATTATATACATATATATATATATGGCAAATCATTGCAAATTCAAAAGCGGTACGTAATTCAAGTTAACTAGGTAAATTCTTATTTATATATTTACGCCAGAGGTGATAGCTATCGCGGGATTCGCATCGACAATAATTAAGGCTCAAACATTTTCATACAACATTCATTAAGGGTTTACTCACGATCGGTACTTTATAGGAAAATCCATCGAAGCGTTCGTTGGGTCCAATGAAGCTCTCGTTGATTCCTTGAGGGTGGATTAGAACATGATGTATATGTATATGTGTGATGTTTAGAACATTAACTTTGATGCACTTCCCGTTTACATAAGAAGCTTTTACCTAATGGACGTATTTAAAACTATCGTTAGAAATGTCGTACAAGTACACTTATGCAAAAACTACTCAAATACAGCGAATAGAAAAAGGAAAACTAAGAACTACGCAAGGTTACCGCCGCTGAGCATACAGCAGCCGAATCGCATCTGGCAACGCCGTGCGGCCGATGTCTCCTGTCACTTAGGCCTCATGCTCTAGTCTCTGATGTGTAGGTCTTGGGTAGGTCTGCGTTGCTTAATTGCTCATGAAGGCGCCTTCGCTGCCGGTACGTAAGCCGAGATGCGGGCTCTGGATGGGTGATCCGACTTCCATGGTCAAGTCGAAGAAAATTCCCTTCTGACTGTTTATGAATACGCTCGCAGAAAATTGGCGGCAACCGACCAGGGTCCTAAAAGCCACCCCCCGCTCTGCAATCGTTCGACGATATCAGCGCCAGCATACACTGAGTGGCAGGGACTTAGCGCCTGTTAAGAGATCGATTGCGGGGGGGTGGGTTCTGAAACAAAACCACTTCCGATATTATATGACCGGTCCTCGAGAAAAATTTTGACTGATATTCACCTCAGACTATGGTTTTGCACTATTCACTTTAGCTATTACTGTACAGGTTGCACCTTGTCGCACTTCTGTACCGTTGTCGGTCAGTTTTCACGTGGACTTGTTTCGAATTATATCTTGACTGTGGGTTTTGGCGCACGTCTGCTAACCTTAGCGGGAGAAACTCAAGTGCTCGAGCTGTGCACAGAAGTTGGCCTACGTGGCTGACTACGCTTCCAGGAATCTAAGTAGGGAGCGCAAAGACGGAAATTAACGGCGTTATGGCGTGATATTTTCCGTCGTCTCGTCGCTCACACTGATTTTCGCCAGATGTTCAGTCGCCGCGGCGCAGATCGTGCGAGCGAGATGGCAGACGTACAGTGCAGAGGGGTGGTCCAGCAAATTCGGGAATTATGCCGCTATTTACGTTGTTATACATGCGAGCGATGAACGACTTACAGCCAAAACTTTAACCCTTATGCGTGCGTGCATTGTACCCTACACCCTTTAGCTGAGTAACGGGTATCTGATAGTCGAGGTACTCGACTATAGCGTTCTTCCTTGTTTAATTTTAAAAATTTAGTTTTAAGAGATAATTCAATGAAGCAAGACTGATTTTTGAGTATTCCCATTATCCAAAATAATTTTGTTGAAGTTTATAACACATTTATAAAGGTAGAAAAGCGCACTTAAAGTTCAAGATACCAAGTGTGCCAACACTTAATTTCGGCACTATGTTTTTCCGTTCTCATTTTTTCACACACTCGTTTCTGCAAGTACAGTCATACATGGCTGCCGCTATAATTGCATTAAATATTACATGTAATAGTAACCTATAGTCAAATTTTACTTTTTTTTATGACAGAAAACTTTATATTCTAATAGAATAAAATCACTTTTTAGCGATAGAGGTATTTTTTAGTAGATCAAACTAAATTTCGAATACAGCAAAATTCACTTTCGTTCATCTGCTTGAGTGGCGGCTAGCACCAAACTGATTAAAACTTATGATAGGACAAAAGAAAGAAGTTCCGAATATATAATTCGAACGGAAAATAGTGCAAGAAAAATAATTGATAGGAAGAGGTTTAGCCTATATACCATTTTTCAAAAAAAAAATTATTGCAAGTGAGAAGCCATATATGGCAGTGTATGCGGTAGAAAGTTAAGGGCGAAAAAGTTCCCGCCGTGGATTGCTAGAGAATCTTTAAAATTAACAAATTTAATTAATTATAATTAAATTATTTAAGTTTCCAGTAAAATACCCAATTTATTTTTAAACAATATTTTGAGTGATTTAGGTGCGCTCATGTCTCGTAAAACAAGGTTATCTGTATTTTAGATGGTTGCTTAGGCCGACAGGCGACCTTCAAGTAGTTTTGTAGCTTCGTCAAAAAATGTATAGTGCGCTACAGTCTGTCAG